TAATACATAGAATGAATCCAAAAGATGCATATGAAAGCTGAATATTTTTGGAATCTAGCAAGTGTAGATACATTCCTGTGCTCTTATCCATGTTGCTGTAATACGCGTTCAAATTTGAAAATTGAAATATTTTTACATACTTTTGAGGGAAGCTCTGTAATTCGTGTTCAAAATTTAAAAAATGCTCGAAAAAGCAGTGTTTTACATTTCATTGATTTACTCGAAAACTATAATACATAGAATGAATACAAAATATGCATATGAAAGCTGAATGTTTGGGGAATCTAGCAAGTATCAATATATTACTGTGGTTTTGGCCGTCTGTAATTTTTGTTCAAAATTTAAAAAATATGCAGTAAGATCGGCTCTGTTAAAGGATTAATTAAATTATAACTAAATAACACATATGGTTGATTCTAAACTTAGATGCGATGATATAATAGTAGTATCAACGGTATAATCAATACGAGAGGCGGCGAGTCCGGCAGACAGCCCATCTAGAGAAAGTCAATTTACGCCGCAAACTCATATGGAGCACTATAATTATGCAACACCCGCAGGGTCGCATACGTGCATTTCGCATAGGAGGATCCAATCTCTAAAGACCTGAATTAAACGAAATACTGCATCCATTTCAAAATTATCCATATCTTTGTTTCTGGTTACATCATTATTGTAACATCTTATACATTAGGTATATTGCCTAAGTTTTAAGACCTCACAACTGAAGGATTAATAAAAAAAAAACAACGCTTGATAAATATTGTTACTTTTTTTTAATATATATGGTGCAAGATGGTAAATATAGTATATTTTTCAAAATTTAAAATAAATAGCATATTTGAGTCTTATTTTTAACAATATAGTTTTCAACTAGTAAAGTCTTGCATATAGTGCATACATTCTTAAAGTAAGAAATAATGAATACTAACTGAATGTTACTTGAATTAAATTGAATTTATTTCTAAATAAAGAAATATTTGCTATAATTTGAATGAATCACACTACTTTTGACATATTGTCGTTCACTTATAATTCATTTTTCTATATTGTCTAAATTGAATGTATACAACTACATAATTATAATGCTAATATTTAATATAAAATATAGGTAACCTTTATGAAATCATAAATTGAATTATCAAAATATTGAAAATTACTCGTCACAAATTATAATACTTATATACAAATCTACAATATACATTACTATAATGTTTCGCTATTTCATACAGGCAATATATGTACTAAATTACAAACTTCATAACAATTATCACACTATAATGGCCACGTTTATATTTTAATTAACATATAAACTAATCACAGGAAGCTTATTGTATTCGAACCTATCACGGTGTATTGTGTATCTGTTATATCCTAATATATATATATATATAAATTTGTGTTATGTTAATATCTAATAAATGCGAAAAATAACACACATTATTTTGTGAGTTGTTTTTTTTTTAAATATACATTGCTATGTGTTTATATAAAATGTACAGCTTGGGTCCCTGCTACGTTGCATAAATGTTATATAAAATTATGTTAAATGTTGCACAATAATTTCGCTTAAATTAAATCATTGGAAAACATTAAGGCGCTATTGGTTTCCGAACTGAATTAGTAATGGTTGACATAACTTTCACTGGTGAATACTTTAAATCTGCATTTTCTAAATCATTGTAACAATTATATGACGATCACATAATTCTCGAGTAAAAATAAGTAATACTTTAGTTAATGATATATACATTTTTGTAGAAAAATCTTTGAGGTGTCTCAATCATTATTGCTGTGTCAAATTATGGAATATTAAAATAGTTGGTAGTTCTTTTAGATCTGGACTAAGTTGATTAATTCTATCAAATAAAATAGAATTCTACTCTACCATCATTTTTAGCTTATGTTATTCTCTAATCTAATGTTTAATTTAATTCCTCGGATAGCCTTAATCTTGGATATCTTAATGCTTTGATGTCTTAAAACAACTCCATTTCCAGAAAAGAAACACCTAAACGATTATATAATCAATAAACATTTTCCTAGAATAGACGCATTGTAAAAAAGTTATATAGTTATTCCCCTTGAAAAAAAGTGTAACTAACATCAACATCCATACATGCCGACAAATACAAGTTCATGCCTCATGCTATAACATTGAAATTATTACTACACGTCGACATTGCATAATGAAAATAATATTAAATTTAAGTACATGCAATCTAAGAGTTGCTTTGCATATATGTTTATTCTGAACAATGAGGGACATGTTCTTAAATCCCGGTATAAGGTTTGATTAAACTATATAATACTATAACGAATACTAGTACTTATGAGCAGAACGGAACGGTGGATTGTTCTTAAGAGTACGTTAGTTCGAACACTGGTTTAGTAAGGAATACCATTCATCAGAATGGTGAATTAGAAACGCGGTAGTTTCAATGCTCAGATGAAAATACATGTCTTTATATGAGCAAACATGTTGTTAAAATGTAATATCTTAAGAGTAAGTTAGTATGAGTACTGGATTAGTAAGAAGTTGATGAGCAAGGAACACCATTCAATAGAACGGTGAATTGGAATCGCGGTAGTTTCAATGCTCAGCAAATGAGCAAAAAATGTTCTTAAATCATTGTCTTTAACACTAACTTAAGAGTTAGTTAGTAAAAAGCCTTACTCTCGGTAAATAAGAACTTGATGTACAAGGAACTGCAATTAATTGGACGGTTTATATGCCATTGCGAATCTTCCGGAATTCGAAACGCTGAACTAATCTGTTGATAATGCAGAAGATAATAATATAACTTCAGTCATTCTTATGAATTCAATTAAATATATTAATTTATAAGATAAACCTTGTGTTCGTTGTTGTGAAATGAATATATAGAAAACAGCAAAGAATTCGAGTATAATAGATGATAATGTAAGAAAGAGCAAATAATAAAAATAGTATGGAATGTTTAATTCCAGCGACATCTTTGGTCTATTAATTAATAAACTGTTTTCACTAAGAAATGACGGACTAGAACCTCGAGAATTAATCACAAATAAACATCACATAGTTTCATTTTGGGCCGTGCAAAGTGATCCAACGTTTTTTATCTTAAACCTACAGGAATTTATTCGTTTCACGGCGAATTAGGTTCGCGTCGTCGTAGAAAGAGAGAATGAAGTGAAAATGCAGAAGTGTTGTGTAACCGGTGAATGCAAGGCGCGAGCGTAGACGCGACGTAATTAACCCAGAATGGATGTGACCGATCTTCGAAGAGAATAGTTGGATTTTCTTCTTGCGACGAGGAATGCGATCTAGGAACGCAGATGGCATCTGGATTTCCGTCGCGATGACCGACCGGCGAAGAGAGTATAACAACAAATGAAGACCGATTACCACCGATGCGTCATCCGGCACGAAGATAGATATATAGATACTCGCCGTGAAGGGTCAAAGCACCCAAACCTTGAGCGCGCTTTCCCATCTCTCAATATTAATCAAACATTATTTATTAGAGATTATTAAAGGCTACAAGTTTCCTTGGACCGTGTCGGAAACAGCGCTTCCATTTTAAGGATTTATATAACCGAACGCAAAACATATAAACAGTCCGAAAAGCAAAAATAAACAAAACTAAACATAAACATATAAAATTAACAATTATTTTTGTTCCTCATTTTTTTTTCGTCTTCTTATTTTTTTTCTTTCTTTTCTTTAGATGTGCTCACGTGCAACGCTAGTAATATGAAACAGGAAGCGCTTCGAATAATTGACTGTACAATGTTTGCCTCTGCTCGTCGTTTAGGGATGTATCTGCTAGTTCTTTGAAGCTCTCGTGCCCTGAGAAGTTCCTCATGTAGTTCACCAAATATTCCTCGACGAGCTTCTGGTTGATCTGCTCCCTGGACACGCTGCACAGGTCGACGAACGGATCCGCTTCGGTCTCATCCTCTACCTCGGCGTCCTCACCATCCTCGTACTCTTCACTATCTTCATCAGGCTGTCGTGAAGGAAACAAATCAAAGTTATATAACACATTTGGGGACGTACTTAGGATTCCCTTAGGTCTATAGAAAGATGTACACTTTTTCAATACAGGTTCTCTTTCCAAACTGACTGTATGAAACTATATGGTGAGTTCATCTTTGGAGTAACTATGATGGTTCAAGGAATATATGTTATCCAACCTTATATATTTATATCATGCAAAGTAACTACGTTAATTGAAGAAATGCGTGAGAATAATAAACAAAAAAAATAGAGGGGATAATCAAACAAATTATCAATAGGTGCCAAAATATGAAAATAAAGCAAAGCGATTCATAATTGGCCCTAATTGAGTTAATTGACTTACTTGGTTGTTCTGGTCTTTCTTCAGAGTTACATATTTTTCTGCTAAATAGCGGAAAATGTAGGATAGAATTGGAACTTCTTTAATGCCACTTTCTTGCTGATCGGAGATCGTCAAATCAATAATTCGGCTGTCCTTCCTCATGACGGTGTTCTCGAGTATTTTGCACAACACTAACATACTAGAAATTCCCATTGTATTAATTAACAACATCATCGAACAAAAGCGGTCTTGTATACTCACTGTAAGTATTTCCCGTACATAGATCTGACATACTTAAAGCTGACGATCAACTTGATAATGTAACTTAATGCACTTCCGCCGGTTGGTCCAGGTACTTTGTTCAGCAGAGATAGGATAACCTCATTGTCATAGTACAAGTAATGGAGAAATATAATGCTGAAGCTCTCCCGAATCTCTAAGGATTGCGAAAAATTGAGCTTGCTCAAAATACTCTTGATGAGCATTTCGTTGCATCTGGCTGTTTGCTCAGACAGTGCTCTGAAGGCACAAATGATCAACTTATCGATGTGTTTACAAGCGAACTCATCTCTAGTTGGTTCCAGTAATCTGTAGATGACGTTCATCAAGTTATCAACGTCGGCTTGCGCGAACATTGCCAACTGCGTTTGGCATTTAATCAGGTACATGCAGATGCATCTGGTGCCCATCTCGGTGATCACCAAGTCATCCAATGAGTTCACAGTCTTGATCACTACCATATAACCCTGCATGAACAAGGCATGACGTATGGTCTCCGAATGAGCGTTCTCGATGATAATACTGAGCACGTACAAAGCGACGGATTGTGATTCAGTCCTATCCAAGTGTGTATTCCCATTGGGAAAGGAGATCATCTCGATGAGCGGCGCCATTAGAGATGACTGTATATATTCCGCAACAATCTGGTTCTTGCTTAAACCTACGATTAATTCTTTACACCTATTTATTATCACAGCATTTTGAGTATTCTTAGCAACAGTATTTAAAATAAATGGTACCAATCTATTAGCGAAGTTTGCAGTCATATCTTGATTCATCTGCAATAAAAGTAAATAGTTATGAAATTGTCATTAATTAATTCGAGGTAATTCTTACATTAGTAATATCGCATATGTTTCTAATCGTAGTCCCAAAAATCATGGGGTTCAGGTAGGCAGCAACATTAATCAAACTGTCCAAAAGAGAATTAAAGACATTCGCAAATGCCTGTAAATGTTGCTTTTGCATGTCCTCGGATCCATGTTGAGAACAGTTTCCTCTAAGATTACTAATTCTTTGGCAGTGGTAGTTCAACGCCCTGCAATTATACTCATTATACAATATTCCTACGAATGAAAAAATCCTTACCTAATGGCTGCATTCCGTAAAATATGATCGCTGCTTCTCAAATGAACGCAGATCGCACTCAAATGTTCAACGACTTGCTCAGAAGACATGCAGCAAGAAAATCTACCAACGACTAACATAATCCTTGCCAAAAGGATAACATTCCTGCATTCTAGGACAATGAGAGACGCGTTTCTCAAATACAAGTAAATGTTGAAAGATTCATGATGATCAGTTCGCGATTTAAAGACATCGCTGAGGCAGCTAATAGTGCACATCACGCTCTCGTTAACTCTCCAATTTAAAGAATCGTTGGGTTTAATCTCATAGCAACCGCCAAGTATTTTATTTATAGCTATAGATAAGTCAACCAAAATCTTGTCAGAAGGCAAATGCGACATTAATATCTACGAAAAGATTAAAATTATTTTTACTATTGTTATATAGAATATAGTAAACTTACGCTTAACAATGTCTTCAAATCAGTTCGTAAGTTATTATTAACCATATTGTTGAATTCATCTGCACAGTAGCTATGTTCGTCTTCAATGAATTCCTGCTCCAGGGCAGGTGTAATGCTCATGAAAATCATAATCGAATAAAATATGTCCGATAGAATTGGGGACAACTGCTTGCACATGTTGTTATCAGAGACAATTATCTGTACAAGCACAAAAATGTTGTTCACCAACTTCATAAAATATTTAGGATAATGTTGATCCTCGTCGGCGTCAATTGGTAATGCTTTAGAGTTACTGATGATCTGCACATATTCAGTAGCGCATTTGCTCAGAATCTCCCATATTATAGGTAGAGTGGACATTATCAACTGTGCGGTTTCGCCAGCCTTCTCACAATAAAGAAATTGGATGAAAGCTCCACCAATAATCTCAGATTTCAGATGAAAGTCACTTTGCTCACAATATGGCTGATTCAATTGATATGCAAGCAGACCACAGAACTTTTTGCTTGCTTCAATTAGGATCTGTTCATTCTGGCGATTATCAGTTTTCTCCAGATCAGTCAATAGGAATATAGAAATCAGAGAGATCACAGTTGCCCTTACATAAGTTGAGTACTGAGGAAACAAATAAAGAGAATAGCATAAATTGCAATAATGAAAATCCTTATAAATAACTTACTTTTTCATTTCCCAAAATCTCATATAGGCAGTTGAATAAAGTAGGTCCCAATTGTTTGACTATATCATAAGGCAAGCATTCTTTAAGGAAGAGTACTGCACCTTCAATTACCTCCGTACTAGCCGATTGTAGCATCTGTTGGACTAAGTTCATCATGTTTGGCCACCTATCCGGATAATCCAAGGCAGCTATGTGTGCCATGATGTGTGCCGTGGATTGCCTAAGCTGTCTATTACTATCACCAATACCTACCGGTAAAAACTTTTTTATCTTCTCTTTGGTGTCTGGAGAGACAACTGGCAGTCCTAGAGATTTGTCCTCGGAGGGCCAATAAGCAACAATGTATTGTTTTAATAGTATGCTGCTCATGAGACGTTCCTCAATATGCTCCCCAAAGTCCATCATGATGTCAATAAGCTGAATAGGATATTCTGAAATCAGATACAAAGGTGGATTACAATTTGCAAAAAAATCATAAGACAATAAATACCTTCAGTAAACTCCAATGCTTTCCTCCTATCCTCTGATACTTTCCGTAAATCAGACTCATCACACATAAGGCCACTAATCACAGTCAGAATGTTATTTTTAATATTCTTCTCCGTCATCTTTCCGAATTGTTTGTTTTTATTGCACGGCACAAAATTAACCTTAAAATAAATGTTTTTAAATTCAAATTCAAACCTGCCACCAGGGTGCGCTTTCAATTGCTTCAGTTCTTCAAACCAAATGAATTTCTTCTAATTAATATTAGTTACCTCATAAATGATCAAAGAAGATGAAGAACAGCAATCAGAAATGACTTCAAATGCGTAAATATCATTCCGAAACACTCTATATATACAATTGTATTTGTGACTAACCTTAACGCTCTTCACCACTCTTCACCAAAGCAATGACAACTTCCGCTAACCGACGCTTCTTCAACTGTTTTTAGTTCATCCATCCACCATCAGGAGTCATCTTAGTCGTCTCAAGTTGTTTGCCCAAACCTTTTGAATTTCTTCCAATAAAATCTTATAAAATGCAAAAACTTTATTTCACAAGTGATTAATAGCAACGTATTAATACTGTAATACCATATAATTACCAACTAGATGTCTATTTTTATCGCTAAAACCTTTTATAGAATAGCACCAAGTCGTAGCTGTTCACTCAACAATTGTTTTCTATGCAATGACAGATAATGCTAACAAACGCTTACTCATTTGTTTTTTCATCCATCTACCACCAGGAAAGTCTTAGTAACGCGTTGTTAGAAGAATCTTTTTGAATTTACTCGTATGCAATCTTATAAAATTAGAAAACTGAGCAATTGCCACCTATTAATTACCAACTAGTCATTTATTTTTGTTGTCCTCACCTTTTTATAGATTAGCACCAACACAGAAGTTCTTCTCAACAATTGTTTTATATGTAATGACAAACGCTTACTCGTTTGTTTTTAATGAATCCATCTACCATCAGGGGTCGTGTAACTAGTAATAATTTGAAATATCTTATATAAAAGTGATTATCAATTCTAATAAGAATAGTCATCTTTTATCCAACTATATATTAATTTATAATCAACATTCAAATGCAATTTAATTACAAATTAAATTTCATCTTTTTAATTTTAACTATTGATTTTACTTAATTAATTAAACTATTGAACTTCTTAATTTTTTTACATTTCTCCTGTTCCATCAGGTGGCGCATTTATATGCAATAATATTATTTTGCCTTTTAAAACAATAATTATTTTTAAAATTGATATTGAAATGAAAATATGCTTATACTTATTAAAACTCCTATATTATAGAAATAATAAAATATAATAACTTTAATTTGAGATGTTTCCAGGTGGCGCTTTAACTAATAACAATAATTACTTAATTGTTCATGAATCATCAACTTTATATTAATTAGTTAACTTGTCAACGTAAAAGTGCATGGTTCTAATCTCACCACATCCAATAAAAACCTAACAGAAGTGGGCAAAAACCTTGGGTTATGCATTGGTAAGGTCGATAAACTGTAATTGTTACATGTAAATAGGGTGATAAGATTAAATATTTATTTGCAAATAGACTGTATCAATATGTTACATTAATTTTATTATTTAATTAATTAGTTTTTTCTTTATAAATTTTAAAGGTTTTGTAATCAACATTTTGAAAGTTCCATATAACATTGATAATTCTTCTACGCACGCAGACGACATTGATATATTATAAATACTATCAATGCAAGAAATTCATTTTAACAAAAAATATATCTTTAATTCCATTCAATGTTTTTAAAATAATCTTAGAATTATCTTAAGACATCTATTAAAGATTTAATACTATGATCATATCGAATTCTAGAACGTAACTGGTTTTATTGGTATAATTATGGGTATAATAAGTAGACATGAATATTACATTCATAATAATGAAAAATCGATGAACGCCGTGTAACCTGTTGCGCAATTCTCGAATCTTTCATGTCTGATTTGGGTGGAGTCGCGTAAATTTCAACATTGATGTAATGATTTTGAGGAGACACATTTTATGTTTTTTTTTGGTTAATCTTCCAAAATAATATTTGTGAATATGAAACACATCAAAAAAATGATTTTGTACTAAATACATTAAATTCGTATTAAAATGTTTGAGCTGTTTGTTCCATTTTTACTAATGTTTATGATCATATTTGTTTATTATATAAAAGTGAAATTGAAATGTATTTTAATGTAATTCAGTTAAATTAATACAAGAATAAATACACGTACAAAATTGTAGCAGTATATGAAGTTTCCATCATCAAATTGTAGATGGTGTTGATATGGATTTGCTCTGATAATGATTTCAAATAATTTGTTGTACCTTATAAAATTTAATTGTGGTTAAATATTAATTAATTAAATATAAAAAGATTGAAATTAGAACGCGAATTACGCTGAGTTTTATTTGTATTAGGATTTGGTTTGAAGGAACTAAGAAAGTCCTTACGTGTGGGTGTTCTCTTGGAAGCGGGATATTCAAATTGGTTTCCTTGAAACAGATCCTTGGAAACGCGCGCAAATCCGTTCCCAGCCGCTAGTCGGCGACGAGCGCAGTTCACAGTTAGTGCAGTTAGTTCAAATCGATTCTTTTACAAGGATGGAGGTGGCTCACATAGAAAAATTGCTCCTCGTAATCCTGCTTTTCGCACAAAATGCGATTTCCAACGAGATGAAGAAATTTTCAATGCTGATGCCGAATGTTCATCCTAACAGGGTAAGTGACCTCAACTAATTCAATTTTCTAATTCGAAAGCAAAGCAAATGACCTTTTCACCTATTTTTTTCAAACATTTGAAAACTGAAATCAAACTAATAATAATTACACTAATACGAATTACACAAGTTTTTCACAAGTACATTACTTATCTATATAGCAAGTAATATTATGTGGGAAAAACCCAGTTGGAACAATAAATGCTAAAAAAAAATCGCCGGTGTTTGACGTCATAATCTCTGGGCTCTGACGTCAAAGGGACTCCCCTACCCTATAGGAAGAATTTTTATGAATGAGTCGATAAAACCGAATGGAACCATATGGCCTAACTACTATTATCTACTATTTCTTTTTTTTTTATTTACAGGATGAACTGTATTTGTGTACGCCAGTGAAAGTGTTGCCAGATAAAAGCTTCTACATAGGTAAATTTAATGATATTGAATATTCATTAGGATTCTAATGAACAATAGCTGTTCACGTTTCATCTCCTTCCTTGTTACTTTTTTTTATAGTTGGTTTCGAACCGAATGCAACTATGAATACCGTTCATCATATGATTCTCTTTGGATGCACAACGCCCGGCGCTAAAAGGGAATTTTGGTATATTATTTATTTGCTATATAATTAGGGCTTTTGTATAATATTATTATAATTTCAGGGATTGTGGCGAAATGGCAACAGGTGTCAACAGCCACCTGCCTCGGGCACAGCCCTGTGCGGAGGGATCGCATGTAATTTAATTAATTAACATCCACCCTCACATTAATAACACCCACAAAAACTGTTTTAATTGTAGGTGTTGTACGCATGGGCCAGAGATGCCGACTCCCTCGAGCTGCCCGATGACGTGGGATTCCAAATAGGCATTGGTACACAGGTTCAATACTTGGTGCTACAGGTGCACTACGCCCACAAGTTCCCCGATACCTTCGTCGATAGATCGGGGATTAACCTGATTTACACTCAGAAACCGTACGAACTTATATAATATAATAATATAAATATGGTTAATTATTATATTTCAGACGCTCCAAATTGGCGGGGGTTGTTCTGTTAGCGACAGGAGGTACTATCCCTCCCCATGGTATCACCCATATGGAATCAAACTGTGTCATCAATGAGCATAAAACCATCTATCCATTTGCGTACAGAACCCATACTCATAGCTTGGGTAGTGTCCATCAATTCAAGTGATTTATTAATTATTAAAGTGATTAATTGATTTTAGGCAAGGTCGTGAGCGGCTATCAAGTGAAGAGAGACAAATTTGGTTACGACGAATGGGTGTTGTTGGGTAAGAGGGACCCTATGACTCCCCAGATGTTCTACCCGACCTTCAGCAAAGCCCCCATCAAGTATGGTGATGTGTTGGCTGGAAGATGCACCATGGAAAGTCACCGAGACCGCGATACATTCGTTGGGTAAATTCATCGATTTTTATGCTTTTTCGACATGCTTGAACAACTGTGTTTATAGGCCAACCAACAACGATGAGATGTGCAACTTCTATTTGATGTATTACGTTGATGGCGACACTCCCTTGAACATGAAGTACTGCACAACGGCCGGCCCTCCCTTCCACTACTGGGCTAACACCAAGTACCATTTCAAGAATATCCCCGATATCGACGCCTCTAACTTGAACACAATTGACTAAACGCTCTTCCCTAGACCTACGACTCGAATAACGTTTTCCGGTTAATTCTATTTATTTCTGTGGTTCTTTGACCTCTCGGCACAGTAGCGTGGTATATACTATAGTCGCACCCGTTATAATTTAGCATAAAGTTAACAATCTCCTCCGGTGCTCTTTTTTTTTTAAAAACATTCCGTTATATTAGTATTAAAACATATTGAGACTGATTTCATTAAGACCACAGTTCCTTAATTTCTGTTTCCGAGAACATCAGTAAAAGATTATTTTGTGATACGTAAACACTATGATAACTACCCTATACCTGCAATACTAATCTTAAAAATGAAAAGAAAAAATATATTTATCAAACAAACGTAAATGTAACTTTGCACAAATGAAGATGAATAAGAGACATACGCATATCTACAATATTATCCACTCAACAAAAGACTACAAAAGAGTACATTTCTATTATATTTTGTGTAAGTTTAGTCGAATTCAAATGACTTCATTAACAAATGTTAATTACTTAAATGATTTATTTATATATATATGAAGAATCTATATATTTTCTTGAAATCTATATTAATTATAATGTAATCAATTCATTGTAAATTTGTACAGTTAGACGAATAGATGTAACTGAAGCATATCAATTATGGTTTTATTATTATTTTATTTTATTTTTCTTTACTTTACTACACAGACTGCTCCCAACATTTCAATCTCACTTTCGTCGGGATGTCTAAAACACTTGTTGTACACATGAACCGAGAGTTGGCAACCTTGAAAGACGGATTGAATATTTACGAGTGGACAAGTACAGAAGACACGATAGGTTGAAAAACAACGCCAACAGACATTCTACAATATTTTGATGACAAGTGCCCGTGATTTAAGATCCATAGCTAACGTTTTTTTTTGTTTGACTCATTAATTGATAATTAACGCTAATTACTTTATTAACCCAATAAACGATCGGATTGTTTGCGTAAAATTCGAACGAAACAATGTTAATTTTCAGGGTCGTAGACCAAAAAAAAATCGAAAGCAAATGGAAGAGAATTGGTGAAGAATGCCTCGACTTTACTTTATTATAATACGCATTAATTCACAAGTTTTCCATAGCCGAGGAAAAACATGTTATCGTTGCATCGTTGGGAATATCACTTGGACATTTATAAATTCGGAATGCAAATAACTTTATAACATCTATTTCTTTATAAACCAATCACAAAGTTCATAGCATAATGCATGTATAGTTATGACTGTCGATTTTTGTTACATTATCACTTTGTTGAAAACAATTCATTCATTATAATTCTAAAGTCTATTATATCTATATAAATTTTTAAATATAACATGAAAACTATCAAATGCACAAGGCTTATTTTTCTATTTTATATAGAAGGTGACAAATATTTAACTTAATCTATTGAATCAATATTATTATTATTACCATAACCAGTATTTTATAATAAGTTTGTATTTCTTGTATTAAATTGTAAACAATAAGAATTTCTTTAAATACTAAATTTTGTCTATTCTGCACCGGAATTATAAAAGTACTCACAAAAAACCATGTATACTAATAAATGTATAATGTGTTAAACAATATATGTACTTAATATATCAATAAATATGCACGAAATTATTTTTGTTTTGGTTTTGATACAATGGATGTTGCATGATCTTAATGTTTTTAATTGAAAGTTATTGAAACGTTTCCCAAATCACTGTTTGATGAAGTCTTTACGTATAGAAATTGCATTTGCAATTGAAATTTTGGACTATCCTAACAATCTTTAAATTACATTTGAGTTTTATCCAACTCATAAAACGTACAACTTTTTGTACAGTACGTATTGTGTACGTATTCTTAAACTGTTTCAAATTATATGGAGGTAAATCAATTATGATACATTTACAAACATTTGACATTATGATAGATAATAAATGTATACAATTTTTCATAGATTTTCATTTATTTAAATGTATAAAAACAACAATATTTACAATTTATTCTTTCTATGTTAAATAATAGAATTGAAGACAATTTTGTTGCGGTAAATTATTTTAAAGTTTTGATTAATTATGATGATATTTTCATTAAAAATTGTTTATATTATATTTTACATCAATGCTGAAGGTCGTCGGAAATATAATCAACATTTTCATCAGAGAAGATGACGTTCATAAAGTAAGTTTTGCGAGAACTTGAATTGACGCCCTTTTTCATTTCGAGTGAAAAAAGTATAAAATAAATATAGGCGAGTAGAGGAGGAATGTTGTTCAAACTTCTGACTAATATATGCTAACCAAGATGTACATTCGACATCGAAAACATTCTCCAAACATCCAGATTTCATATGTATCTTTTGGATACATTTTGAGCGTTATTTTTTTTCAACTTTGAATGCGAATTACATCCAAATGGAAGAAACCATAGCAATGATGGTGTTAACAGAAAATAATGTATTTAATGAGCTTAAATATAGATTATATATATTTTTTAATTAATTTGAAAATCAACCACGTTGAGTAATTAATTTCATATTTCACTTATATATTGGCATACGCGCATTTTCCTTTTGTTCGATGACGTAACGTGTATGAGGTCATCATAATTATTTTAATGGAATCACATTACCGCTTCGTACAAATACAGTAAACAAAACAAAAAATGGTCGATACGCAAGTTGCATAGGAAGATTTTCTATAGAAGTTGCTTAAAAAAAAGTATATAGATAGAAATTGCAAATCGAATAACAAATAAAAACAAAGGAGGCGTGAAAGCAATTCTTTTGAAGCGTTATATAACAATTTGCATTGCGCGACATGTCTCGAGAAGTTTTTGTTTGCGCTGTTATTCTGATTGCGGTTACGTTTCTGTTAAACGCTAGATTATCTTACGTTATATTTAGTTTACTATAATTGGTGTTATTGTTAGTATAAATGAATAAAAAGAAATAATGTTTAATTTATTTCAGTTCATTGTTTAAGAATGTTATTATTTCCGTAGAATACCTGAACAGTTAATTTATTTGACATTGGTATGCCCTGATCCGCGGATACTTTTTGTTTTCTTTCTTGTAATATTTTATGGTTTGTTACCTGGAAAAGGGTCTATGGATTTGTAAATGGGATTTTGTCTCTGCATGAAATGATGATTTCTCAAATTCACACCTTTGTTTGATTCTATCTAGAATGTCAGAAATTATTGTTTTTTTTTTGGTTAATATTGAAAATTTCATTGAACACTTTACTGGTTTTGTAGCCATAGCAATAATGACTAATACTTATGATGGTTGGAAAAATACAAACAACATAAACCACAACTCTATACAAATTCAAACTCGAGTTCCTCCCATGCGATTTATTCATGTTAAAATATTGGAAAAAATTAGTATAGTTAACGTACATTCGCATCAACGTACTTTATAGTATTTGTTAGAAGTTCAAAAATTAGTACAGTCAGTATTCAGTTAACGTACACACAATGTTTTGTACGCTAAGCGAATGTACGTCAATTAGATGATTCATTTCCATATATGTTTTTCAACATCCGTATATTTTTATTCTTACATACGTACTTCATTTTCATACGAACGTATATTGTGACGTCGGATTCCGAAATCGTATGTTTATATATCTTATCAGCAAAGTGCATAAAATAAAGAAATTAATTATTAACAGATCTTAATTAGTTCATGTAGATCATACATCAACCTATATATTTTCCATTTATTCAGTTTATTTAATTGAAATTTATATAATACATATAATGCATGAAAAGACGTATAGAACATCAGTAGTTTTTGTCGGAAGAGTAATATAAATATCCCAATTTTATGTCTTTTTTCTAATTAGTAGTAATATTTTTAGAATTTGATTATTTGTACATAGTGATGGTACTACAATGGCGCTGCAATGGCCCCACATGTCTAGGGTCCACGACTGTCTTTATGTGACCCAAACCGACAATCCAAAAAACCCAGGGCCCCTCAATATTTTGTTCAACTAGTTTAGGGATTTTCTAGGATTTTCTCTCTTTCAAATCAATTTGTCAGCAAATTTAAAATCTTGAATATATATGTTTATGTACGTTCGATCATAAGAGTATATGCAAGAATCATAGTTGTAATTAATGGAATATACAGGAATTCCATTCAATTATAAATAAGTCATTAAGAAAATAGACAAAGTGTTTTAGTGTAGTTTATGAGGAAATAAAAATATTCCAAAAGGAATACGAAGAAATGTTTGTTCATTCAAATACAGTCAAGAAATATGATTCATAGCTGCAAAACTTATTCACAATTTCAAAGAATAACTATTTACTATAATTATCAATAAATAATAGAAAAATAAAGAATTAAAGAATAAAGCAAACATTATAATAATATTAATATTTATTTCACAGTTTAAAAAAAAGGTATAAGTATTAAAGTAATAATAATAATAATTAAATATGTATTTTATAACGGTGGCAATCGCAAGCCCGACAACCGAAATCCCGTCTATTAAAATCCCGGCTGGCTCAAAATCCAGACGTTCGAAATCCCAACTATATCGAAATCCCGACAATCAAAATCCTGACTATATCGAAATCCTGACAGCGTCTTTTATTATTATAAATTTCTACAATACTATTTTTATGGTTGTCGGGATTGCGATATAGTCGGGATTTCAATATAGTCGGGTTTTCGATATAGTCGGGATTTTGATTGTCGGGATTATGGTAGTCGGGATTTCAAGCGTCGGGATTTTAATACAGCTGGGATTTCGATACAGTCGGGATTTCAATAGACGGTCTTTCAGTTGTCGGGCTTGCGATATAGACCCATTTTATAATTATTACAAAAGTTACTTTTAAATACAAAAGTTTTATAGTGCGGTTTCAAACAGTGCGGTATATTGTCGGAAACAATATTTTAAGTTTGTCTTAAATTCAATAATTTGAATTGTTTTTTTTTTCTCAATGTATTTTTTTATTATTTCTGAATTCGTGATAATATTTGTAAGGCGTGTCCACGTTTTCTGTTGTCTTTTCAATATTTTATGTATTGTTGTACAGCGTTACGAGTGTTTTTTTTTATCGGTTGTACTTTGACTTATGTTATTTGTTCCTGCAATATGTATTCCATAGCTTCGTTACGATAGCATTCTACAAGTTTTATTGTGCTGTTCATCCAATCATGCCATTTTATTTCATTGAAATAAGCAATAAAATTCTAAACTATTCTTTCAAAATATTCTTTTCAAAATAAAAAAGAATCATCTTATATTTTTATAAATATTTATATATTTACATTTATACAGCAATATCTCGAATAGTCCAGAACCCCGGACTGTTTGAAACTGAGGAACAACATTGATCAGTGATTCTCAAAGTGGGAAACGAAAAAATGTATTTATTTTAATTTTGTTCAACTAAACATTTAGTTTGTATTGAAATTTTTAAAATTTTCAAGCCAGAGT